GAGGGGGGAGGGGAAGAGAGAGAGAGAGAGAGAGGAGGCAGCTGCACCTAGTCTGAGCTGACGGTGGGCGGGTGGGATGGCTCTTTGTTCAGTCTGAGCTCCTGATGTCGCCTGTGTCTCAGGACCCCACCTCGGGGCCGTCACCTCCCCTCCCCTAAGGGCCCCCCTTTACCTGTCTCCCCACATTGTGGTGGACGTCTCTGTCAAGCCATCAGCACACACTGCCTCACCTGCTTCCCCGGTCGCCCCTCGGGGTCACCTGCGTGGAGAGGCCCCCGCTCAGCCCTGGGATCCGGGGTGGTGAGATGGCGAGCAGCCTACATTTCTTGGCGCTGGCTCTCTGCTGTATCTCTGGTGCTTTATATTATTTAATTATCAAAACAGGGATTACATTGCATGCCTGGGTTTGCATTCTGCCTTTCCCACTTGACCTTACACGATGAATGTTTTTCGACACGAGTGAGCACTCTCCATCAGTCTGGCGTTTAAGGGCCGTGCGCGTGCCGGTGCACGATGTCCTGTCACTTACCTCATCCTTTCTCTCCGACAGGACACGTGCGTCGGCGCGTCTTTTTGTGATTATAAATAACGCTGTGACGAACATCCTGGTCCATCAATCTGAGTGCAGGCACATTTCATGTTCCCTCTGGATGGATCGCCGACGTGGGCTGACTTTTTAAGGCTCTGGATACTTGGCAAGCCCCCCACTGCCCCTGCTGCAGCAGACGACGGAAGGACAAGGTTCCGGGCTGGGGGGCTCCCTGCCTGAGGTCGCCACCCTCACCGGCTCTCCCCAGGACAGGCACAGTGTCCGGAGAACCAGCCAGCCTGTTTCCTGCCAATGGAATTCTGTGTCCTGTCATTTCCAAACAAGCCACAAAGAGCACCCGTGCCTTGAAGAAAGAGAGCCGTCTCCCCTCATCACTGGCAAGAGGTGGGCTCCACGGACATCCACGTGGATGCCTGTGGTGTTGTCACGCCCGTCCTGGGGGCTCAGAAGGAAGGAAAGGCCTGAGGCCGCCCGAGTGGATGCAGAGCAGCGCCCTTCCACAGAAGCAGAGAGAGTGATGGTCCAGGACACACCTCAGGGGGCAACTTATTCGGAACCCCAAGTCCAGGCGCGGGAGGGCCCCAGCCAGCAAATGCAGTGGCACCTCAGCCCACCCAGTCGGAAGAACAGCTGCCACCTGGAGCGTTAGCCCAGAGAGGCACCAGGTTAATGGAAACAAAATAAGAGACGGCGAGCCCCGAGAGCATCGTGCTCAACGAGATGAGCCAGACAGAAGAGGACAAATGCTGGACGGTTCCACTCCTGTGAAGGCCCTCGATGAGTCAGATCGAAGAGACAGGAAGTGGGATGGTGGTGCCAGGGGCTGGCGGAGGGTGGGGGGGTGAGTGTTTAACGCGGACAGAGCTTCAGTTCGGGAAGATGAGAGTCCTGGAGACAGATGGTGGTGATGGCTGCACAACAGTGAGAACATGCTTAATGCCACTGAGCTGTGCAGTTAAAAACCCATGAGCAGCCTGAGGCCACTTCTGAAAATGGTTCGCTGTTTACTTGACCCAGAAACTCCAAAAGAGCCTACAAACCGAAAGGTTTAGGTCTTCGTGTTCACTTTAAGGACGCTCGTGAAACTGCCCAGGCCACCGAGCACCTGAAAGATGTCACTTTACAGAAGCGATGCTGCCACTCCGTGGTTACGATGGCAGAGCTGGTAGGTGTGCTCCAGCCAGCAGTGGGCGGGACATAGGGCCGGTGGCCCAAAAAGAGAGCTGAATTTTTGCTGCACGTGCTTAGAAAGGAGGAGAGTAATGCTGACCTGAGGGGTTCAGAGCAGACTCCGGTCACGGAGCACGTCCGGGTGAGTGACCTTGCAGAGCTCACCGACCACGTTGAGATGGTCCGCACTGAAAAAGAGCAGACGGTTCCTAAACCAGAGGAGGAGGGTGCACAGAACAAGATATCCCGGAAGAAATCGAAGGAACAAAAGCTTAGGGCCCCGGGAATAAATTCAGCATAAAATAAGTGCAAATACAAGTAAAACCAAACAAAAACAGTTAAAATGATAAATCTTACCCCAATAAAAAGAAAAAAGAGGGAAGATAAAAACATACATTCCTAACCACTTGAATTTGCATAAAAAGCACCAAAGAGTGAAAAGGGT